TCAGCTGCCTCGTTCTGCTTCATAACATGGCAGAAGTCAGAAGGACAAGACAGCAGTTGCAGAAGAGGCAGAATACCAAGGGCAGTTTTGTTTTTTAACAATATGCTATTTTAATAACTAGTCGAGTCCCATGAGAGCAAGCAAGAACTCACTCATCCATGAGAAATAACCCAGGCCTAAGGAAGGCATGAGTGCCTTTGAACAACTTGCAGCCCCACCTCCCACTATGACGGTCACTTCGACATGAGCTTCAGTGGGGACAGACTACTTTCAGATCACAGCAGTAAGTCATCACAAGACACAAAATCCAACAGGGAGAAGCACTTCAATGAAGCCTCCTGCCTGTGTCCCCAGATTCCTGTCTCCCAGATGACCTGGCTGTCACCAGTTTATTGGGTCTTCCAAAGATAGTCTGTGTATTGTTGAAAAGATGGATGTCAGCGACTGTGTCTACTAACAGTATTGAGCACCTGCTGTGTACAGTACTGTGCTCATACATAGAGGGCAGAGAGACATGGGCTGGGACCCCTGCAGTCCACCTTTGGGTTTCAGGGTCGAGTCTCTGAGGCAGAGGAATGCTGGTCTTGCTGCTGTGCTGACCTGAAGTACCCACCTTCCCACTGCCTGTGGAATCCCTGTTTGGCAACCTGGGTTCAGATGCCAGCTCACCCATGTACCCAGCTGCCTGATGGGAAGACTGTGTCCTGTTTGTTTCTGTTGGTCCTGTGAAAAACTGCTCCTGGCCACATTAATGACAGTAATGATCCACTCTCCTTTGTTTTCCTTGGTGGGACAAAGTGGTGGTTCAGTTGAATTTCAGTTTTATCTTTTGTAATTTTCTACACCGTGAATTGCAACGTTGGTAAGTAGGTAACATGGGTTATGCTAGAAAGATCTTTATTTTTTTGCTTGCATGAGCAGGGTTAGTTCTCAGCTCCCTAGACCTGTGTCTCTCCTTGTCTTTAACCTTTGATCATCTTTTATTCTGATGACTTCATTCAAACTAGCAGAAAAAAAAAATCACAAGGGTGATACAAAGAACTGCTGTATACCCAGATTCACCAATTGTTAGCTTACACTGCAAAAACTCTCCTCTCTCTCCCCTATTTGAATAAGGTGCAGCCATGACCTTTTATCCTTAAATATTCAGGATGCATTTCTGAAGAACAAGGGATTCTCTTGTGTAACCACGGTGAGATTGTCAGACTCAGGAAATGTAGCATTGCTGCAACTGAATTATCTAATGCACGGACCAGTTTCATCCGGCATCCTGATGTCCTGTTGGACGACTTCTTCCTGATTTTGAGTCCCTTGTCCATGGCCGCCATATCCCTTCACCTTGCTTTTAACCTGCAGCATCTCCTTGGCGGTTCCCCACCTTGACCTTGTTGCAGAGGCCTGGCCAGGGGTTTGGTAGAATGCCCCTGGTTTGGGTTAGGACCTTCGTACTTGAAAGCTCATGTTGCACCACTTGTTCAACTGTGTCTCCTATATCCTCGGTGGTCCCCTCCCCTGTGGCTATCAGTGACCATGTCCATCCATCCATCACGGTGCCACCCTGATCTGGGAAGGTAGCCATGCAGAACTGCTGTAGGGGCCACAGTCCATCCCATGGTCCACTTGCAGTGGGCAGATGGGGTTTGGCTGACTTTGAGGTCAAAATTGCGTGCCAGTCTTATTTCACGGCTGGCTTTCTCCCGCTGTCCAGGTGGCTGAGGGTCTCTGCCTGGGGGGCAGCTGGTCCTGGCTGCAATCTGTGTGTCCAGTTGGCTCCACTACCTGGGCCACGTGTAGGTGGTGTTCAAGGTTCCTGCCCCAGAGGCGGGGCTGCTCGGCTGCAGCAGTGGGTGCTTCCTGGGTGCTGTGTCTCACCCGTGCTGTGGGTGCTGCTTTTCTTCTCTTTCTTCTCCTGGTCCTAGGGATTGAACTCAGGGGTGCTTTACCACTGAGCTACATCCGCGGCCCTTTATTATTTGGAGACAGGGTCTTGCTAAATTGCTGAGGGTCTGAGTTGCTGAGGCTGGCCTCTAACCTGTGATCCTCTTGGCCCAGCCTCCTTAGCCACTGGTATTACAGGTGAGCTCCACTGTGGTGACTGGGGCCCTGCCTCCCCTTCTGGGTGGAGAAGGGAAGAAAATACAACCCTGACTTCTGGCTTATGAGAGGAATAGAAGACCTGGGACTGGTGACACAGTGGGAATGCTGCTGGCAGACCTCGAAGCAGAACAGCTGAGGGGTTGGGGTCTCGCTACCTCTCTGCCTCTTGCCTCCTGGAGGTCTTGGGGGGCCTAGAACTGCCTGTCACAGTGGCTCGGGTTCCTTCGACAGCAGAGTATGCTGGAGTAGGGCTCTTGCAATCCTGGAGACATCAGGGAAACTTGTGAGCATCCTTAGAGGACTTGTTGGAACAGGTCACATGCAGAGTCTCTTTGTCAACCCAGAGCGAGTGAATTCCCTGTCCTTGAGGGCTGTGTTGAGGGGAGACGGCGGAGGCCTGGTGGCCGCTCCCCAGGCCTAGGCCCTGGCTCATGGTACACCTTGGGCCTCTCCCTGTGCCCCCTTCTTCTGCTGGGCTCGCCAGACATCTGAGCGGGTTCCCCATGGCCGCCCCGTGCTGCACCACTCTCCTGCCCCTGGTTTGTCTTGTGTGGAAGTGACCCTTCTGCTGTCCAGGTTCAGAGTGTAGACAGGATGGGGACCCTCCCACTTTGTACCAGGCTCTGGGCCCCCCAGCTACCCCAGGCCTCTCTCCCTTGGGCCTGCAGCCCCTAGGGAAACTTTAAAATGAGCCCCTAGTTTCCCTGGACATCGCTCCTTGCGTGTGGTTAACACATTAATTAAGAACGTTAATCAGTCTGGCTGCCTTGGAGAGAGGTCTTTCTCCTGCAGGAGCCATCGCTCTGTGTTATCACTGTCCCCACAGCTCGTGCCGACACGGGTGGGGGCAGCTGGCAAACCAGTGGTTCACCTGCACATTCTGCTAGGGGGCCCGCAGGCTCCTTAACCAGCCTCAGTGTGAGTTTCCATTTCGTTAAAATGAGAAGGTACCTGTGTCCTGACCCCCCAGGATCACCGCGGGTGTTCAGGGGGGTTCCCATGGGAACATCCTTGGCAGGGTGTGCTGGTCACCGGCTCTCTGGTCGTGATGAAGGCACCTCCTCGGGTCCCCTGTGGTTTACAGAGCCACTCCTTCCCGTACTGCCCAGTGTCGCCCTCGGCAACCGGGAGGTGGGCAGTGCTGCGGTCCCTCCCGTTTCACAGATGGATGCACTGGGAAGTGAGGGCCACAGCCTGGCTGCAGCTGGGGACCTCTGCCCTGGTCTCTTCTGGACTCTCCTTGCCCCAGGGGCTGAGTGCCTGTGCCGAGTGAGTCACCCAGGAGCTGGAAAGAGGGGAGACTCTATTTTTCTTCTTAGGAGTCATCTAAGCAGTGAAGTCTCGGGCCTCCGTTTCAGTGACCATAAGGGGTGCATGTCTAAGTGCTTTTGATCTTCTGCTCTGCGGAGATTCTCGAGGCTAGGAGCCAGTCTTCAGGACAACCCCCTGAGGCCCCTAAAAGACCTTTGGAGCAGGAGGGGTGGGTGCCAGCCCAGGAGGTCTGGTAAGAGCCACTGTCAGCCAGGAAGTCGTGCTGTCCTTTCTGGGCAACCAAGAGAGTGTGTCTTGACAGCAAGGCGAAAGGTGCTTTCCTTGCCTAAGTGCCGGGGAGCCCGGGTGGGCGCATGCTGTGGGTGCAGGGGTGCAGGGGTGCCGGGGCTGGTGTCTGGGTGTGCGGCGGCCGATAGTGCTTTTCCTATGGGGGGATCCACCCTGCACTGCTGAGAACTGGACTCTGTGTGCTGGGGGGGTTGACCAGCACTTCCACAGGAGGAGGCGGGAGTGTGCCCAGCTGCTGCAGGTCTGTCTGGGGTGCCCACCCCCCAGGGGAGAATGTTGACTCAAAGCAACAAACGTGGCCATGCGCTTCCCAGAGGAGAGAGGGGGATTCATCCTGGCTCCGGGAAACTTAAGCAGCCCTGCCCACTGCTCCCACCTGTGGGGCAGAGATATTTGGCCAGCTGGAGCTGAAGGCAAATCCCCCTTCAGAACCTTCCAGTGTCCTCTGTGCTGAGTCTGTGCCCACAGCCCCATCCCTTTATCCATGTCACTGCCAACATGTTGGGTTGCTTTTGGGACGGGGGGGGGGCACCCCGCTGTGAATGTGATTGTAAAGGTACAATGTGGCTTTCTGTGGAGTCCACACTGGAGCCTCACTGTCCTCCAAGGACAGAGACGGTCTGTGCCTGAGCCCCCAGACAAACACCAGGCCAGGTTTGGGGTAGCCTAGGAGGGTCTTCCTGAGCGATGGGCCTCCATGCTCCTTCCTGCAAGGTCCCATCCTTCTGGCCACCCCATGGAGCCCTCTCAATGATCGGTTAAGATAGCAATCTCTGATGACACTACAGTTTTTGTTCCCTGAGTAAGTAATGCATGTTGACCACAGATCACATGCTAGATGATTGTGTGGAGCTTAGATAAAATTTATGGCACGGTTAATCTGATGCAGCTGCCTGGCTCACACAGTCTCCACCATCTACGGGATGAGCCGGGCCTCCAAGGACGAGCCATTCCCAGCATGAAGTTATTGGGTTGTGTCTTGCTCCTCTCCCCCCGTAATTCTTGCTATCGGATGACTGAAAAGCTGTGGTAGGAAGGGAGACAGGATTGATGGGCAGGGACCTGGGAGTCAGGAGGACCCAAGCGCCAGTTCTGGCTGGGCTGCTCGTGTGCTTTCTGAAACGGGGGGATATCGGATCCCATCTCTAGAGGTATAGAAGGCATCCCATAGGACTTGGCACATAATAGTTGCTAAATAAATGTCTCTTTTAGGGGGTTGCTTTTCATTTGGCATACAGTGAATATGAAGTTTTAATTTTATAATTGAATGAATCATCTTTTTATCAAATCCACTCAAGAGAAACATTGATATTAATCATTCTCTTTTTCTTATGTATTTCTAGAATCTGGCTACACCTGGGATCTAAGTGCTTTTCATCTGAGAAAATGCATCTCTATTCAGCCCCTCGGGACTTCCCTGAAGGAAAGATAGGATATTTGAGGTAAGGGATGTTCTCCTGAGCCTGGTGGGAGCAAATGTGACTTTCGGAATTGGTAGTCTCAGCAACAGAACGGATGGGTGTGGCAGATGGGTGTGGCGGTATAAAAGCTCCCACTGACACCCAGGTGTGAGGGGTCTCCCGCCTGGAGCAGCGGGTCCCCTCTACCCTGTCTGTGCCTGTTTCAGGCTCCCCTGACCCAGGTGGGAGGGGTCTCCTGCATAGAGGGGCAAGTCCCCTCTACGCTGGCTGCAGTGGTAATTGAGCTCCCACGGACACCCAGGTGGGAGGGGTCTCTTGGTTCCTGTGCTGCCCTCGACTGCCCGGGAAGCCAGTGTCCTGCCGCTGCACCGTGTCCTGGTCCTTGCCCACAGTCCTGTGCCTAGGCTGCTCCCCCGGTGCCTAGCTGAGGGAGAGCCCACCGCCGTCTCTTGGCTGAGCTCCCCACTTCTGTCCATCTGTCTTGCTCTGATGTTGGAGACTTCTCTGGGGGGAGGAGGAGCAGGTAGGTTAGGGATCAGGTCACGACACCTGACTGGGGGCAGGCGGATTGGGAGGTCTTCCTCTGCCTAGTCGGATCGGTTTCCTCCTTCCTCCTTTCTCCTCCGTCATGTGCACCAGCTGTGCTATGTGTGGCTGCCTGGGATGAAGGGAGCTGAGGCCGGGGCTTCGGCAGACCTCAGTCTTCCCACTTGGACACTTGCCTCACCTTGGGCAAATCACTCAGCTTCGCTGAGCTCCAGATTCTGCATCTAGAGGCAAGGGACGGTATCAGTGCCTGCTTCATGAGATTGCTGTGGGTGTCCCATGAGGGTGGACACCCAGAGCTTAGCAGACTGCCCCCGAGGAGGAGGAAGTGCTCTGGGATGAAAGAGGTATTCTCGTATTGATTTGTTCCTTTGATGTGCCAGACCATGTGCTCTCTGCCCTTCACCCCCCACCCAGTCAGCCTGGGAGCTGGCTTGTGAATTCCCTTTGGGGCTGTGTGCAGCCCTTGTCCCAAGCAGAGCTGATGAGTCCCTGCACTCGACTGCAATGGGCAGCTTAAGATACAGCTCCAGCTGGGCGCGTTGGCACATGCCTGTGATCCCGGCAGCCCCGGAGGCTGAGGCAGGAGGATCGCAAGTTCAAAGCCAGCCTCAGCAATAGCGAGGCGCTAAGCAACTCAGTGAGACCCTGTCTCTAAATAAAATACAAAATAGGGCTGGGGATGTGAGTCAGTGGTTGAGGGTCCCTGAGTTCAATCCCCAGTGCCAAAATAAATAAATAAAATAAAATAAAAAAATACCCCAAGATGTTGGAAAGAATTAATTGCCTGGTGAAATAGAAACGGTGTGATCCCACCACCAATTGGAAAGGTGTGCAGGGATGGAGAGGAGGTGAGAGAGTGGCGGTGGTGAGAGGGCTTTGGGAAGTGAGTGCAGACAGGTGACTGCAGAGAGCTGCACGATGTGGTGTCCCTCGCAGCCTCCCTCCACGCACTTGGACCTGGTCTGCCCTGGTGTGCAGCCTTCCCGGGACATGCAGAGGCGGAGCGAGGGAGGCCTTGTCCTTCAGTCAGGTGAGGGAGACGGCAGCACGTGGGGTATGTGCACAGTCATCCCTCGGTGTTTTAGGGGAATTGTTCCAGGTTCAAGGATGCTCAAGTGCCCGGTAGCTCTGGAGTACTATTTGCCTACAATCCATGCCCACCCTCCCGTGTACTTAAGATCATCTCTAGATGGTGTATTATAGCTGATGCCATGTAAGTAGCTGTCACACTGCATTGTCTGGGGAACAATGACAGTGTCTTAACCGTTTAGTAGAGATGCAGATTTTTCCCCAAGTGTTTTCCGTCTGCAGTTGGTTGAATCTGCAGTTGCAGAACCCGTGGATGCTCTAGAGGGCTGGGTGTGCATGGGAGGCAGGGAGGGCCTGTCTCTGCACAGGGAGGCCTTCAGGAGGCTGCTGCCCCATGCCCTTGAAGGGTGCCCGTGAGTGGGCCTCCGGGGAGCCGAGCTGCTGAGTGGCGATGAAGCTGCCTTCCGTCGGCTGGAGCAGGAGCTCAGGCGCCTGCGTGTTCCCACGGCCGTTCATCTTCATTTCATGATCGATTCCCACGTCAGGGGAGGAGGCTCATCTGCAGGGTGTACAGCCGAGGAGGCTCATCCTGCTCGCGTCACGGGCCTTGCTGGGCTCCGGCAATCCTGGGGGGGGTGTCTCAGGAGCCTCCCTGCTGTCCAGCTGGGGGCTTGGGGAGCAGGAGCGTCCTTTTCTGAGAGTCTTCAAGCCCAGCTGCACCTGCAGGGCTGTCCCGGGACGGGAGGAGAGGGCAGGGGACTCCAGGCACCGGGGCAGAGGAGCTGAAAGCGGAAGAACAGCCCTTGGTGCCGGGCCATGAGGAGCTGTGTCACCCGCCTTCTGTGAGCAGAGAGGCAGGGCCAGGCCGTCCGAGGGCGAAAGGAGAGCCGTTTCCCCAGAGTCCAGCTGCTGGGAGCAGGGGGACAGGGCAGCCGGGGGCTGGGATTCCCGACACGTCCTGGAAAGGGCCCCGCTTCGGCTCGCAGGCTTGTGGCTCTGCCTGTGGCCCCCCACATGGGGAGTCTGTCTGAGATGCGACTTACCTGGGCGCCACGCCAACAGAAGGTGGTCACCCCTCCCTCTTCAGGAGCCTGGACTGTGTTCTGTCCCTACCGTGGACCAGAGGTGCAGGAACACACTGATGTACCCCGACTCGGCCTCCCCTCCCCATGTAACCCTGGCACGTTCTTCGTGCCTCTCCAGACCTTCCTTTCTCAGCTGCAAAGTGACCTGTGCCTGCTTGGGGTGCCAGGAGGATGGCAGAAATGCTCAGTGAGTGGGGTCCTTGACTTGCTTCTCCTTCCCCGCCGACCTGTCAGGCTCCCGGCGTTCTCAGCCTGCTCTCTCTCACCGTGGCCCTCCTCGGACGGCAGCCGGATGCTCTTCCCTGTTGGTTGGTGCTGTGCTTGGAGTCTCTCCCCCAGAAGTTCATGTGCCGGAGCTTCAAGTCTGTTATGCCCAGCGCTGGGAGAAGAGGCCCCGCGGGAGTGTGTGGGTCAGCGGGGTGGAAACCTCGTGGATTGCTGGACACTTTTTTTGGTGGAATGGCTGGGTTATCATGACGGCAGCCCCCTAGTTCCTCTTCTGGGTGCAGCCACTTGACCTTCTGCCGTGAGGCCCTCACCAGAAGCTGATCAGACACAGCTCCTGATCTTGTGCTTTCCAGCCTCCAGAACTGTAAGCTCAGATGAACCTTTTTTCTTTTAAAGTGTCCAGCCTTGGGTACTCTGTTATAGCAACAGAAAACAGGTAAAGACAATGGACTATTTTGCTTTGGACATCCCCTGCCTCCTTGCTCTTTTGGGCCCCTCTCCTGGCCTTGTCTGCCCCGATGGCTTCTCTTGTTTCCTTGCCTGTTATCCCCGCCCTGGCCCCCTCTGGCCCTGGTGAGAGAGCATCAGGTCATTCCTGCCCTCCTCTCTGTGGACACGAGCCAGCTCTGGTTTTTAGCTACCAGGGCGTGTGTCAAGGTGACTTCCTTTATTCAGTTTTCACAGCAATAAAAGAACTCCTGGCCCACTCGCAACTCCACACTTGAAACAGAAACGTCTTTTCACACCACCTCGGTGTTGGCCCATTTCTCTATTACTGTTTCTTGTGGTTTCATATTGAGGTTTCTGATGCATTGCGTTTGACCTGAAGTTTATTTTTAGTAGTGAAGACAGAGTTCAGCTAATGTCAGAACATGAGGGCAGATGCAGAGGAGGCATTCCTAAGTCTAGGGGAAAATGTGCCTGATTCTATTTCTTCTGGTGATGTCTGTCCCCCAGCACACGCCTCCCTGATGCCTGCTCTGCCCCTGCAGAGGTAGGGAGCCATGTCTGGGCCGACCCCTGACAACAGGTGTTCCTGGGTCTCTTTCAGTCCAGCTGTCCAACAGCTGGCCACACGGACCAACACCCCCCAGAGCCATTGATGTGGCGGTCATCAGCACCCGTACCGTTAGAGTAAAGGCCAGGCTGTGGCATCCTCATTTTGTATTATCTCCCCAGAGGGGTTCATGCCTTCTTCAGAAGCAGCTGGGGACTTCTGTGGTCACCAGCTCTTCTTCCTGGATGGGGCATGTCTATGGGAAGGAAGGCTCTGGGTCCTGTCTAGCTCTCTGCAGCCTTTGGCCTCGTGACAGGTGCATAGGACATGCTCAGGGACAGTTTTCCTGGGTTGACTGAATTTCAGGACGCTGACTTTGGCCTGGAGAGTTAAGGAGATGCAGAAGCCCTCCTCCTTTAGGGCTGGCAAGTCTCGGAGAGACCCAGTGAGCCCTGCCGTTTGCTGAGGAAAGTTTGACAAAGTTTGCTCCTTTCCTCTGTCGCCAGGTCTTTATTTTTTATCGCACACATATTTGCTGAGACCCCGTGGTGTGCCACTGTGTGGGGTCCCTGGAGTGAAGAGGAGGAGCCATTGTTACCGCCCTGAGGGAGGCCCAGACAAGGGGGCAGCTTCGGGGACCCCAGATCTCACTGGGGAAGGAGCTGGAGACGGGGGACAGTGCGCTGCTGAGCAGCAGGTAGATCTTCAGTGGGAGTGTGGGTTTTCAGCCCTTGAACCTGCCCCGCCTGATCTCAAGCCTGTGTCCTGGGCTCCAGCCGCTCCTCGCTCCCCTCCCTCTTCCTCCCCTCCCTCACCCCTCTCTCTGCCCCCTCCTGGCCCTGCCTTCTGAGGACAAGGCTCTTTCTCTCTACAGCCTTCGTGGCAAGGGTCTGACCTGGGGCTGTGCTGGGGTCCTGCCTGTGGCGAGGCCTGTCTGACTTTCCCTGAGACCAGACCTTTCCCTCACTCCACCTCCCCAGCAGGTTGTGTGGCGATGGGCAGGACATGGCCGGCTCCCACTGCCCTCCCTCCCTGTCCTCTTCCACTTTCCTGCTGGGGGCCAGGTGCTGAGACAGGCTGCGTGGAGCCAGGAGAGTGGTAAACGGTCTCTGTCTTTAAAGGCTTCACAGTGT